AGTCCTGATTGGACACGCAAATGGCCAATCATAAGATTGATTTATCGCTATTATAAATGGCTGCCGAATAAATCAAACTTATGATTGGCCATTCGACGCCATTTTTAATATTTTCTAGTACTTTTGCGATACTGCCATAAGCCGGTCGCGCTTCTCTGACAATCTAGGACTCTATGCATAGGTAAAGCATAAGGCGACTAGCTAATAAAAATTTTATGTAAATCAATATGGCTACTTTATGCTGGCTGCTCATTAGTCTAGCCGCCTTATGCTGTGCTTATGCTTTCTTGTGCATTTCATGCCTAAGGCCTGGAGCACATGAAATGCATAAAGGTCCATCTACAATGGGAGCAGTAAGTCATAAGCCGTAAGAAATTGATCAATCACAGTCAAATATGAGAAGAATAATCAATTGTGATTGGTTAATTTCTTACGGTTTACAACTTACTACTCTCATTGTAGATGGACCTTAACAAAGCATAAGCATAGCATAAGCCCGTTGGACCAATGAGCAGCCAGCATAAAGTCGCCATATTGATTTACATAAGATTCTCATTGATTTCTCTTAAGCCGGTTCTACATTAGTTGCAAGCCGATTGCAAGCTTGTTGCAACAGCCAATCCGAAGCATTGATTTCAAAATGCAAGCTTCAGATTGGCTTTCAGATTGACTTTAGATACAGATGGAACTTCAGATGGCCAGTGTCACGTCCTGCGGTGGGCGAGATTATTGGACAATGTGTCTGGACGTGGACAAATAGATCTAGGGATATTTGGCAATAGGGAGTCGGGGTTGCAATAATTAATCGCTACTTGCCATGATTTGAATATAAGGTACTTGAAATATTTGTTAATTGGAAAGAACATGTTTGCTTTAATGAATATTTTCTTGTGAATAGACATAGTTAATAGCGCGTGCGAGATTGCATGCAATACTCGATTGTCGTGGGAATACTAATTATTTTTATTCGATTTTCCTGAAGAATGCAACGCCTGTGGCCGAGTGGAAATTCACGGGCATTAAGGCCGAGACACAGACTTTTGCATAACTCTGCATAACGCATAAGACGTAAAGCATAAGAGAATCAACCAATCAGAGTCCTTCATTTCATACTCTGATTGGTTGATTTTCTAACGCCTTATGTCTTGTTATGCAGCGTTATGCAAAAGTCTGTGCTCCCGCCTTGTGTCTCGGTCTTTACCCTCAGCTAGAGTCCTAGATTATCAGAGAAGCGCGACCGGCTTATGGCAGTATCGCAAAAGTACTAGAAAATATTAAAAATGGCGTCGAATGGCCAATCATAAGTTTGATTTATTCGGAA